TGACAAGCAACGAACAATTGTTTGTATTTACTTTTTTATGAAAACTGAGAACTTGCATGGATTTCTGGAAATAGCTGTTTCCATGGCGATGGAGGCCACTGCTGTCTAACAAACTTAAACCTGTAAAAATAAAAAATGCCAGGGAAACGACTTGTAAATGAGTGTGAGAAATGTTTGTTACAGACGGAACATTCAAAAGGAAATCCACCAAAAACAAACCTCTTGCTGATGTACATTTTCTGGTTGAAAGTTGACAGAGTGAAAATAAAGGCAAGTTCAAACTTGGCGCGAAAGCAAACCAAAATGCGAATTTGTGATGTCAAATCAAATATTCGCGCTGCAAATTTGTTAAAGTTCAACACAATTTAACTTGAGTGGAAATTTGCTGTGCCAAATCTGCTTCACTTTCACATATACCTGCAGTATCAAGCAGCTTTGATACTAATGCCAAAGGAGGTTGGAGAAACCAACCAAGAGAGTACAAGTACAAAAGCCTTCAAGAGTCAGTATAACACTTGCCTAGACGCTTTTTTAACTGCATGATTAATGCAGAATTGCAAGAATGCAGGTGCATGGCGTCTGGCGACTTGCTGGCTGACTGGCTCAAGATGACGGGCTTGTTACTGGTTGTCTAGCATGACTGGCTCAAGATGACTGGTTGGTTGTCTAGCATGACTGTCTCAAGATGACGGGCTGGTTGCTGGTTGTCTAGCATGACTGTCTCAAGATAACGGGCCGGTTGCTGGTTCTCTAGCATGACTGTCTCAAGATGACTGGCTTGTAGGGTGATCCGTTTCGTCATAAATTAAGCAATCCTTTGGATGACTAGATGGCAGGATGGTATGATAATCAGGTCTTTGAAAAATGTTCTCAATTCGTTTGCGACAATCTTATCAGGCAGCTGAAAAGAACAACAGAAAAACAGAGTTGTATGTTTTTCTCACGTATACACCACTGAACAAAAGCTCTCTAGACATTTTGGCCAGGAAAATCCAAATTCCAGAGCTGTGCAGAATTATTTAATAACATCACATTTAAACCAGAAAATGAAATTCAACACAAGACATACAACAGCAATGTCTCCATGACAGGGTGTTGATTGATTTGAATGTAACAGGAAAGTGTTTCAGTTCCAACTAGGCACAAAATGAGCTGTCTGAGCTTTGAATGTTTCTTTCAAGGTACAGTCCATCATTTGCAGCTATCAAAAAAGTAGCTGGAGATAATATTGTTACAACGTGCACTTGGTTTAAAGATAGTTATGGGACCTAACTACCAATTACAAGTGTCATTTTTAAAGAAAGCAAAGGAGGCCATATCTGATAATGCATCTACAGATTGCATTTTTGGACATTTAACCAGTAGCTTTTGGTTTTCATTTGTCGAAAGTACACGTAAGTTGCCGTGATGCATACATGAATATGGTCCTTGTAACTCAATCAACAGATCAATGGCTGACATAACGTTATGTAGCCTCCCACTCAGCAGTAATGCCCAGCAGCCTGGTCTTTTGTTCGGAGTACGGTCTTTTGTTACAGGGCCCGGTTTCCTTTGTCTGGGTTCGGAGACCCCGGCCACGCATATAAAGCATATGTCTCCGATCCCGGAGTCCCCGGCAGGAAGTGGTTAAGGATGCTGAATTCATGTGTACTTAAAAACCTGACGGTGCAATTTTGATTTGAAATCAAAATCCTTGTTGTTTTTTTTTTTTAATATACAGTATTCACTAGGCCTCAAAATAGTACTAGCCCAGCATACAAATTCTAGCAAAAAATGCTCCGGGCTGTCTAGACTTGGTTCCTTGGTTGCCCGGTGGGCTAGTGAAAAAAAAATCAGTATAGAACCTACCTGTAGTGTTAAAATTTAGATCAAAACACTTTTATTGCTTTTGGTGAAAATAAATGCACGATTGCAAAACCTTTCACTACAAGTGCATGTGACATACAACGAATCGTGCCTCTTATTTTTCCCATCAGCAGTTTATTTTCTTCATTGGTATTAAAGCTAACAACAATTTTGGGTTTTCTTTTTTTGCATACGGGCCAGTAAAACTCCAAATGGGCTAGTCAAATACCCAGTTTACTAGGCCGGTGGGCTAGCCAGGAAATAAAAGTTAGCGCAAGGCCTGTTCACTGAGCAAAAATTTCATCATGAATATGGAAATTTGCATTAGCACAGCAACCAAAAAGGCAGCAAAATTCCTGTCATTAAAAAAAAAAAAAAAAGGTAAAAAAATAAGGCGAACTGAGACACAAGGGTGCACCTCCAACTTGCTGTGCAAAAAATGCATTGCATAGACCCTTTTAAGCTTCCTCTAAACTTCCAAGAAGAAACAAAGGAAATGATATTAAAGAAATCAATTACTTGGTTGTAATTTTAGCATCCTATGCTGAGTAAATCTTGCTGAAGTGGTTTCAACTTGTTTAACATAATCACATATTCATTTGTCACTGTTTCCATGGTCTCTCTTATGGGATGCCACTTCTCTGAGCTCAATAACCATTCTGCGTTCTGCCCTATTCTAATTAGAATTTTGTCAATTACCATATTTGTGGCCATGTCGTACCCGCTGCAGGGCTAGGTGTAGCGGTGTGTCACCATAACTGTCCTGCACATGTGCTCTGGCGCCATACTTCATCAGTAACCGCAGCATGGCGTCATCGCCGCTGGCACACACCACGTGCAGCACTGTCCTCTGCCGATTTGCCCTGCCCGGCAGCGTAGCATTCACATCCAGGCGGCGATCGCCGTGGTGTCTCTTGAGGAAGGATTTCAACTTGGTCACTTCCCCTTGGCTCACGTACTCAAACTGCTCCACTTTACTTCTGCCCATTTCTGCGTCAGCATAACACAAAAACAGAGCAAAAATAGACAGTTTAGGTTCAAAAGCTCAACAGTTTCAGACCCACCAACTAATTTCTCTGTTGTAAAAGAAAACGAAAAAAGGTGAAAAGGGAGGTTCAAAAGGGAAACAAATGACAACCTGGATAAAAAAGTAATTTATACTCCTTCTCA